TTAGCTACTGAGAAATACCTCTGAGATTATGACAAATAACAAAGCTGCATCCATTTCCTCAATGCTTTCCATAAGTGCCCATACAAAGCCAAGCCTCACGCTCACTAGTGACCATCAAGCCCACACATCTCAGCCCCCAAACGCCCCATGCAGACGTTTCACGTCCCATGCTGCACAAGCACCCCCAGCTGCATTTTTTCTTTGTGCATTTCACTACAAGGAGCACGCTTTGTCATTACTGCTCAAATTCCTACTGGGTTCAACAAAGCCTTGGACCAACCAGGAAGGAACTCCATGATCACTGCTCTCGCTAAGCAAATAATTCTAACAGCCTCTTTCTGTCCCTCAGCCCAACGCAGTGGCAGGCAGACAATGCTGCAGCACTGTGACTGCTGGATTACCTGTAAGCAACTCCTCTGGGCAATCTGTTTCAACAGCTATAAATCTTTCTTTCAGAAAGGACTGTTTTATTAATGTAAGTACACACGGAACAGACTGACCTCAACCTGAAGCCAGGTGACAGCTGTTTCCAAAACTGCAATCTGTTTATTGACATGAAACAAGAAAAGGGATATAAACGACTGCTGATGCCTGCGAGGGCTCAACGTGACACTTGGAACTTCCCTGTTCGAAGCCAATTAGTTTTACTTCATATGCAAATGGTGCTATAAAGTGGGGCAAAAATCAATTCACTGAAATGTTCTGGCATAAAGCAGAAAGCAAACACACTTCCAAAATCTCTTCACATGCTTTTAGTGGGAGTCCTTGTCTTGCATTCCTTCTAGCAGGGAATTAGAAGTTCAGAATCACTCAGCTGTGTCTATTCAAGAAACACCACACCAAGTCACACGGCACGGTGAATTTCAGATGTTTTCTCATCTCCGGTGCTATCAGTAACACATGAGTTATCTCACACCGTGGCAGCTGGGCAGATCAGAAAGAGAACTTCCTAATTTAGCTATTCAATAGGTCACGCTGTGAGCATAAGTCCTCAAACAACTGCCGTGCTTACACTGTGCTCTGTAGCGCTTTAAAGGTGGGTAAGAATGTTCTCACAGAATCACAGGAGCACACTGCAAACAAGAGCAGAGCAAAATCAATCTCCTGCACATTTCTTTCTGTCCTTACCTTTCCTTCCCAGGTCTCTCCACGCACTCACTGACAGTCCTGGTAGGGAACACCTATTCCTTACGCTGTGTGCAAGAACCATTACAAGCCAGCTGCCTCCAGGCAGAACATACACCACTGAGCTCCATCTGCCTCTCCCTGGCTGGAGCCACGCACGCACCTTTGTCTTCCAGCTCTCAGGACTGATTTCATACAACTCACACCAACATAATGACACTGGAGAGTCCTAATCCTGTGATGAAGCCGGACTGCAATTGGACAGTGGGGCTTATGGTTTACTTAGAGCAAAGGCAGACGTAGGTGGGGGCAAAAGGACAACACATCAGCATCAGATTTCAGACAGACAGACTGAAAAGCTGCTGTTTCATGTGAGTTGGGACATGCCAGGTGCACGTGTTTGAACAGAGGCCACGATTCCCACGGCACACAGGGACAACTCCTCTGCCAAGAGGGGGGAGGAATTCCCAGCCAAAGGGGGATCTGATGGGTCAGGAACCACACAGTTGTTTTAAACAAATCCTCATGTAATCAGTTAGGAGGCTGCTTATTTTGCAAAGCAGCACATGCATGATTAGACAGGTGTATGTGCATAGGGAAGACCTGCTGAGTTCTGCACCAAGCGTTTCCCCTTCCTCAAGAGCATCTTAAAATATCACAGCTGGGGTATTCTCATGCTGAAAAGCAGCACTTGGCATTGTTCTCTCAAATACTTGGCTGCAGGCTGGAACTTCTCCAGGGCCACTCCTCACACACATGAAGAAAACAGAGTGCTTGGAAGTATTTTAACCTGCTGAAGTTTGTATATACTGTGTACATAGCTTGCTGTTTGGCTATAAATACTTGGTAAGACTTAAGAGAGCAAAACTACAAACAGTTTATCATAAAGTTATACATTCAGTCTGCGGTCACATGCAGCGAGTGAGTATCCAAGGCAGTTGAGTTATAAAGAAGCAACTGAGTAAGGTTCCCCATTTTCCTGCTTTAGGATCACGTCCCCCTTAGGTGAAAGGCACTATCTGAATGTTTACGTTATTCACCTCAAAACACTGGACATGAAGAAAAAATATGAATAGCTCCTTAGAGAACATCATACTTGAATTTGGAGCTTACTGTCCCACAACACTTTCAGCACAACTTGATCAGAGCAGCAGGCTGTGATGATATTAGGCACGCAGACAGCAATAACTACTTACTGTGCCATACAAACCTATTTAAAACAACTATCACCCACTGGCTATTAGCAGTTGGCTTCTGCATGGCCTTTCTTGGACATGCAAACTGCTGAACAGACATTTCCTCGTCGCATGCAATCTGTACAGATAGGCCTGTAAAGCTAGTCTGACCACAGGAGATTAATAGCGTTAGCCAAATAATGTGGTAACCATGTGAACGATGAGCTGTCCCAGCATGTTTGCAAGTCTCCCAGCAAGGTTCAACAGGCTCTATCTGCATCTTGTTGCCATGAGACACAACATGGCCCTGAACAAAGCAAAGCCAGGTTGCACTGACCACCAGCCAGCAACAGCAGGAGCCACGCAGCACTTGACCCTCTGTGCCCAAGAGGTGAGCAGGGTCTTCAGGCAGGAGCTAACTTGTGTTGCCTCTTGCACAAGAGCACTTCTTGCCACAAGGCACAGGAAAGCACTTCCCCTCAGCTCAAAACCTAGTTTGAAACCACACTAAGTCTTAAGGCATATCTGCTTCGGTGTCTGAAGCAAGCAGCTCTGCTCTTAAAAAAAAAGTGTCACTTCCCGGTTCTCTCTGATGCTTACCGAGAAACACGAAGCTCTCTGAAGGGATGGAACATGCAAGAGTTACAGAACTGGTCTATTTATCATTCCACCAGAGGATATTTTAAGTTTGCAACAATGTTCCTGTGTTGCAGCAGGACACGGTGTTACAGCACGGACTTAAGCAAGGATCTTCGCAAAGTCTCCTGAGAGCAGGAAGAAGAAAGAGCAGGAGCCACTTCTGCTCGGGGCGCTGCAGTGTGGGAAGGAGCTGCCCCTGCCTCACAGCACACCCCAGGCTGGCTGCAGCTCAGCAGCTGTGCCCTGATCCAGCACACCCACCGTGCCCGAGACCGTGCTGTTTCTCTGACTTCATCCGTGGTAACAGAACGTTACGTGTCTGCCAACAACTCTGAGTTTCTTCCTGACCAGTTCAGACAGAAACTCGGTGTACCGAGAGGCCAAACTACTCACCAGCCTGGAAACCTGCAAAAAAAGTGTGAAGGAGGACAGCATGGCTCAGCCAGCTTCACAAGCTGTGATCTGATGACTAAGCAATTACGAAGCATTGTTCCTTCTAAGATTAATCATCTGGGACTCCAACACTGAGAACAGGCAGATTGTGGGGATAGCAATGGATTTTGTGGACACATGCTAAAAAACAGGCTAACAAAAAAAAAAAAAAACAACAAACAATTCTGCTCATCTGTGCAAAGCTCAAATTTAAACTGCTTGCAGGAGCTTATCTTAGTCCTTTGGTCGATATTTTCTGTTTACAGAAACCTTTTAAAATAATTGGAAAAAAAAATGGAAGCATACATTGTAAAATATGGTGAATTTTATCTGCTAGACAGTTACAAGATTTATTCTATGCTTAATTAGATGGGCATATTTTTCCAGGACAAATAGGATAAATTTGCTAGTTGACAGAGCCTGAACTGTGGTATCTAACCCAACGTCCAGTCAGGTAAAGGCTCACGGACACCTGGTGCATTACACTGGGTCTCTGATGCCCAACTGGAAATCTCTACATAGTAAATGCAAATCAAATAATCCTGCCCTAACACACCGAGGAAGAAAGGATACTCCTGTGATAGAACACGGATGGCAAAGACTAATCTGACACTTCTGCTACAAAGGTATGGAAGCATCACTTTGAATTTCAACTGCTGCTGGAATAAGTTGCACGGAGCTTACAGAGTGCAGCGGGGGGAGGCGAGGGTGAGAACTGCGTGTTGTTATTTCCCCTAGAAAAAGAAAGTATTCAGAAGTCCATACCCTGAACTCACGTAACACAGACCTGATGAACTTGCAAATGTCAGCACTCCCTACTACTATTCAAAAGGAAACCTGTGTTATAAAAGATTAAGTAGTTTTGGTTTTGATCTCAGGGTGCAGGATTGAGTCTAAATCGATAGCAAACACCTTCTATGTTTCCCTGGTTATCTACTCCCTTCCCAAGATTAGAAAATGGTACGATGTGCAGAGGAAACAAGAACTAATACAGTTCAACATTCCTGGATCACAACACTTAACTGGATCAGCATTTCTGGATGTGCTCCTTATGCGGTTCTTACTGAATCAGCTGAAACCTCACTATGTTATCAGCCACACAGAAGTCTCACAAAGAATCACAGAATGGATTGGGTTGGAAGGGACCCCAAGGATCATCAAGTTCCAATCCTCCTGCCACAGAAACTTAACGCAGTACCAATGTGAGTTCAGTTACTTAGCACATCATTATGAAGACTGTTCAGAGTGCATGGCCTGGAGTCACTGTGACAGAAAGCACTGCAACACCACTCCTGTTTCAATCACTGCAAAGGCTCATTCACACCCCTACTTCTTCTAATATAGAGAAGAGACTAACTAGGAATGTAAAGAACAAGTACAATGTTCACAACAGCCTCTGCCAAAACAAAGTTTCCTTATTTCTTCTGCACTTCCCAGTTGCTAAACATCAGTTTTAACAGGCATGAAATCATTTTCTGTCTGTGACAAACTTCTTAAATATCAAGGCAACATCAGGACAGGGTTTGGAAAACCCTTGTACACAAAATACCAGAACAAAGAACCCACATTCTGTCATATTTCTGCACCATTGCTTGGATTTGCAAATAAGTAACCTAATCCATCACCTACCGATACTTCACTTTGATCCTATCATTGTCAGGGTTGCAGTAGAGTCTTTCCAGATGCTCCTGGGAATCATTGCTCACGCTCTGCCAACTCTGGGTTGCTGTCCTTCTCACCTGCCAATGATAGGGCAACACTGTGTGATGTTTTGGACAATCATTGCCATAAACACAAGCGCCCTGGAGAAAATCAACACAGATTTCTATTCCATCTTCCTGATGGGTGTGATATTGCAGCTGGTTCAAGAGCTCAAATACCAGATCAAGTGAAGCTTCCTCACTTTTATCCTGGAATATTCCAGCACTGAATTTATTGCTTGAGTTTAGAGTGTATTGCATGGGACAGCTATTCTCTTGGAATAGGCCAGCTGTGTAGCTTTCCAGAAGCTTGCTTGGGAACAAAGGACATGCAGCACCATCGCTAGAAGATGGGTGCAAAGGGCGATCCTGGAACGATTCATTACTAGTGTCAGCAGCAGTCCCAGGAGCAGTTTCTGATGAGAAGCTTTGCTCTCCTGACTGCACCTCCTGCTCAGGATGCCCAGGTACAGGATGAGCTCCCAGCAATTGACTCTGCATGTCTGGAGCTGTTGGAACCAGCACAGTCACATTACTTTCTGGCTGGGGACAAGTAGTACCGAGTTCCAGAGCCTTTTTCACAGCAGGTTCACACAAATCACTATGATCCCCTCCTTGTCCTCGAGGCACAAAAACTCTATCCAAGGTCCCAGATCCCAGCAAACTGGTAAAGATTGGCCGCAAAGCCCGGAGAGTTTGTGTGTCCAGTCTCTTCTGCACTTGCTGTTTCTTCTTGAAGCAAGGCTTCACCGGTGGAATCTTTTCAGACAGTCTTATCTGAGGAGGAAAGTCCTCTGAAGGAGGGCGCTTCATTCCTGGGCAGTGAGTCTGCGGCGCAATACACGCCGGCTTTGCTTCGGTGTCCATCACAGACTCTGCTCTCCAAATCACTTTCAAATGTCCCAGAGCCTCACCAGGATCAATCTAGGGCAGAAAGGAAAACAAGACAGTTAATCTCTCTAATTGCTCATGGTTGACATGAACAAGATCACCCCTGGAGAGGATTTGAAGCCAGCAACGGCAAACTCCTCCCCTCTCTGTGACTGCGGGTAGCCCCTAGGCACGTAAAGCATGAAACCAGCTAAACTCAGGCTAATTAATCCCAAACACACACTCATCGTCTTCTCACATGAAATCTCAGAGACACTCAGGCACGCACACACAGTCCCCAGAGGGGGGGCAGGAAAGGGGGATGGTCTGATTCTTTCCTTCCTGCGACGATGCTTAATAACAAACAGCACTTCAGCTCATCATGCTGCACAAAAGTGAGCTCTGTGTTGCTCAGTTTCACGTCTCCTCACTCGCACACCTGAGAACTGCCCAGGAATGGCCGCTCCCCCCACACACACGCCCAGCTCCTGACTCACAGCACACTGCACCCAGTCACCCTGCAGTGACACACCGCTCCCCTCCCACCTCGCCAAGCAGAGCTCCGGCTGGGCAGGGACAGAAACTAAGGCTGATGCTTACTCACCAGAGACAAATTCAATTAGCCCTAAGATGAAAACTAAATTTTTTCCTCACGTATAAACGAGCGGTATGTCTCTTAAGTCACCAGAAAGCAAGCTGTGTGCCTTTTAATCAGCAATCTAGCAATATTTGATTACATTTAATTAAACCCTCTCCCACCTCCGTGCCCATCACCTCAGAGCTTGGAGTGGAACCCATTAGGGATTACTTCATGGTAAATGCATTCCAAGCAAAGTCACTTCTCATTTCAAACCAAAATCTCAGAAAACAGATAAGATCTGGCCATCATTTCTTACTAGCAAGGATCACTCTGGAAAGTCTCTCACCAAGTCTTCCTTATTTTGGAACGTTCATCTAAGAGGCTTTTGCATTACCCTGGGAAACAGCACTGCCAAGATCGCCAGGAAAAAGAAAGCAGTTGGACTACTCACTCCTATTTTTAAGTTTAAAGCAATCGGTGCATTTGTCTGCCAGGAAAAGCAAGCTTGCAAATTACTGGGACCTCTCTTACTGCTCCCCAGCTACAACAGGCTTCCTAAGCCACCAGCAGTACCCTCAGCCTTCATGCAACCCCAAGCCCTGCCCCGCACGGCAGCCCCTGGTGTGCGAGGTAAAAGCCTGGGCAGCTCTCCAGTTCTATCTCTGTGCTGCTCCTGTACTGTTGGCGCTCAGTTGATTACTTTGCTGTTCACGTTTCACCCTTACGGAACTGCCTGGCTGCACAGAGCAGAATCCCCCAGCAGCTCCAAAAATAGAAAGCAGTGGGCATACTGAACAGCAGAACTCACTGCCGTTTCTATTTCAGCATTTTTACATCGTTCATTCGATGCTATTTAGAAACAACCTCAGCAACCGCCAGGCGCAATGCTATATTTGCACAACGTATTTCAACAGAAAAAGATCTCCCGGTGTGAGATTTCAGCCCTAAGCGCTGCCACGAGCCGCACCCCCAACTCCCCTCGCTGAAGAAAGCCAACACGAAGCTCCCAGAATCAAGGGACACCGACCGACCCCAGCACACTGCACACCGAGCTGCTCCCCAACCTACCGACCGACCGCAGCTCCCGTGTGTGCAACCAGCCTGCTGCAGGGGGCAAGGAAAAAAATAAGAACGGTAAAAAAGAAAAAAAGAAAAAGAAAAAAAGAAAAAAAAAAAAAAAAAAAAGCAGGCTGCTACGGCCGGCCGCTGTTAACAGCGTTCCCAGCCACAGAGCGACCGCTCGGGGCAGCAGCAGGCCGGCGGCGAGCCGTGCAGGCGGCGAGCCGTGCAGCGGAGCGGGCCCCGGGCAGGCGCATGGCAATCCCGGCAGCGCTCCGCAGCTCCGCTCCGCTCCTCTGCCCCGCGCCCGCTCGGCCCGCACATTTAAATAGCGCTTCCCGAGGGCAGCTGCGCGGGGCGGAGCCGGGCACCGCCTGTGTCGGGAAGGGGCCCGCCCCGGGCGGCTCGGCGCGGCTCCGGAACGGAACTACCGGCCGCTGCCAGCCCCCCCGTTACCGCTTCGGAGCAAACAGCCTGCACTAAAACCAACGACAGCACCGGAGCTCCCGACCTTACCCAACTTCCTAGTCTGGGCTGCTCTAGGAGCGCTCCTTCGTGACGACGTGCACCGTACCCCCATCCCGAGTGTAACTCCGCACCGCTCCAGCACGGAGCTGCAGCACCCGGGCCCGGCCCACCCACCGCTTCAAGGGACGTGCAGCAAAGGCGATCGTAATAAACTGGAACGAGTTCCCGTCTATTTACACAGCATAGCGTAGAGATGGAAGGCGTTACGAGCGTAGCTAACTTTCCTTTGTCCAAAAGCCAGCAGCATGCTGTCATCTTCCGGCAGGCGGCTGTGCGTGTGTGAGCGCACGAGGCAGCCCAGCTGTGTGGGTGCTGAGGCAGCCCGTGCTGCAGCAGAACGCGTCCTGTGTTCATACAGCCTGACAGCTCCTCAGCACCACTGACCTGACCACAGAGCTACCTACAGCGGGGGAAAGGCTAATCGACGCTCAAATGGATGGCGATGGAACGCCTATCACGGTGTTTGCTGCGGTGCTGTTCTCTTCAACAAAGCCAGGCCTCCATTCCCTTTGTGCGTACATGCTCAACAACTTTATAGCATTAGGTATCCAGAGAACACAAGCATCTGGAAAGAAGCTGTCAGCTCACAAGGTGACAGCAGGAATTAAGTGCATTTGGAAAATGCTGCATGGATGCACTTATAATGCGCCAGCGCTACAAAGAAATTACAGCACTCAGCTCCATGCAGTCAAAGCCAACTGCTTACAGAGTGACACAACAGAGGCTGAGGAAAGCAGGCATCTGCACCTACAGGAGCCAAAAACAAATTTTCAGCCCTAATTGAGCCCTGAGTGCCTGAAACATCAGGCAGGCACAGCCCTGCACTGTCAGGGCACAGCGAGAGTTTAGTAAGCGCAGTGACCGGCGATGCGTCACACCCTCACCCCACGAGAGAGAACTGGGTGCATGTTTGCTTCTTGTTTTCTATTACAGGGGCAGAAATTATCTGTTTGGAATGGCTGATTTCATGCATGAGATATAAATAACGCAGCCGGCTGAACAACACGCCACGATACGCACAACTCCCACTGCGGAGGGCGGGAGGATGGCACCAAGACAGGAGGAGGCTGCAATCTTTCTCCATGCAAATGTATAATTAAAGGAAACAGATCACGGCACGGCAGCAGATCACGAAGCTGTTTCTGAGGCTATCCCACCCAAATGCAAAAAGCAAGCAACCACGACCGCCAGGAAAGCGTGACCTCATTTTTAAATACATGTTCAAGTTTTAAGCAAAAGCTTTCATTATTTCTTTCAAATGGCAAAGTGCACTGAAGTGAATGCAGTCATTTACAACCGTGACTTGCAGATAACATAGCTGTCAGCAGGCACACATCACCTATTTGCTGAGAAAAGAAGCAAAATATCTTCACTCAGAGGTTCACAAAGTGGCCTTCAGCCCACTGAAAAAAAACAAGGCCTCCTTTTCAACCCGAGTCCTTGCACAATGGACATTTTTAACTTCATAAGAACATACTGCCTTACATCAATTGCCCGTTTCTCATGCTTAACGTGAAGTCAGCACACGTTGATGGGAATGAAGGATGCTGCAGAACAAGGCCCACAGAAGCTGTGCTGTACCTTCTAAGTTCCTCAGAAGCCACACATTCCAAGGACATCTCGCTTACTCAGTTGCTTTGTGCATTTCAAAGTATGAGAGCAGAAGGGGGAGGAATAGGCACTGCCACAAGCTCTTTAAGTTTTAGCTCGGTGTAGAAGCAAAGAAGAAAGCTGTTATATTCTGTTCTGCCTTCCCTCCACGCCAGCAAGTTTAGGAGTGGCACATCCCACTGCTTCAAATCAGACAAGGGCTCCCACATAACCCAATTACTGGAGAGGCCCAGCAATCCAAGCCTGAGCTCTCACCACTCACTGTATTCCACACGTCCTCAGATGCCTCCACCTCACAGACTGGCCGTTCGTGACCTTGGTTAGGCTGCTCTAACAGAGTGCTCCCCTGAAGGTGTGTGGTATGGAAGAACTGCTGAGAAACAACTGGATGTGGCTCTGGGCAGCCTGGTCTGCTGGTTGGTGGCCCTGCCATAGCGGGGGGGTTGGAACTGGATGAGCATTGTGGTCCTTTGCAACCCAGGTCACGCTATGATTCTATGACTCTTCAAATAGCTTCTCATAGGAAATTAAAAGTTTTTGAAGCAATGATTAAAAAAAAAAAAAATGCGTGGGAGCAAAACCAATGTATGGTGCAACATATTTTACAATCTTTAGAACCAGCAAAAAAAGTGAATGAAAAATGTGAAGTTACTTCCCTGCCTGAACTACATATCTAATTCAGTCATCTGTCCAGAAAGTTTCCAACACACTTACACTTTTGTTTTTTCCACTGTGATGCAGGTGATCACTGAAACTACTGGAAAGAGAAGTAGTTACGTGGTGCTGCAGGGCACACACCTTCCTGGAGTCCCCAGCACAGCCTTTTGGAAAGTAAGGCAGCTGGTTCCAGAAAAGGTGAATCGAGGTCATCGTGCAAAACAGTCAGTGCTGCAAGATCTCTTTTCACTGATAGCACGATAACTCAGCACTCACAAAACCACTGCTATCGTGCTGAGATCTTTGCTACTCACAGACTTCTCAAGACTGAAATTCAAGTTTACAGAAAGGTGAGTTGGCTGGAAGTTACCTTATTTTAAGATTACTTACAATACTGTGCTTAGGTGGCCCTCATGAATTTCAAGGCATTAAGAAACAAGTCTCCTGAGCAAGATGCTCAGCAATACCATCCTGTATTCTGCACGTGCACAACACAAGCAATCCACTCTGCTTTACACAACAAATCGAGAAAAGAATCAGGTTGACTTCAGAGGTGCCCAATTTCCTCCAACTTCTCGATCTTTTCTCCTACATAACCAACCACTGTATGAATTTCTACACTAAAAATGGTTTACAACACTAGATTTTCCATTACCTACAGGTAAAGAAGTCAGTATGTACTAATAAATAAAATACTGAGGATCTGTTGTTCTGGGCTTTTTCATTAATATTACAGAATAATTATCTGCTCTAACAGCTAAGCAAAAGTACAGAATGAATCACAGCCAAGTTAAGCAACAAGTTACTGACAAGGGGAGGACACAGGTTCCTTGTCTCATACTGCAGCACCTGACATACTGGATGAGCCATTCAGCACTCCAATGTCCAAGCAAGCATAGCAGTGCATACACTCCTTTCTTTGCTATGCAGCAGCACGTACAAATGTTGAAAATAAGAAACAGGATGAAAGAACTGTCCTTAAACTACCAAATCATTAGTATTTGCATACAAAATCCACTACAGTTAGCATACCTTTATGTTAGTAGAATCAGTAGATTTCTGCCTTTATGCAGCTAAATTGATGCCAATCTATTAATGCTTCATGGCACGCAGTGAAAGATGTACATTTATTATATGAAAATCAGTACAAAACTCAATTCAACTGTACAGCTACTTTTTATTGTAATGCCTAAAAAAATACCCAAATAGACAGCTCCTTCCCATACCAGTGCTTGAGGAAATCTGCTAATTGCCTTCAAACTAAATCTCAAGCCTACTCTTGTTCTTCATAGACGTGTGCCAGTAAGTCAGGTTATTCAAGTACCAAGGAAAAAGAAATGTCAGTGATACAGATGTTTCTCTGCCAACAGACTCAGGCTATGAGAGGCAGATGCCTTTGTTCTTTCTTACAAGTTGTACAAACAAGGCATTTTGACTTTGAGTACATGCCTATTGACCCTGTTAATTCCAGAACCAGTTATTATAATCATGGGCTTTTTTTGTTTTTTTGGTTTTTTTTTAGAACTAAAAAGTGTACTCAGTGTGTTTATATGAAGGTGAAATAATGCAAGCCAGCTCTCACTGAAAAAGAACGAAAAAGAGGGCGGCGAAGGTTCAGCACCTGTAACCCAGTAGCCTTTGTTGGAGTGACACCTAGTGGCTGCAGCTCACCGAAACGGAGAGAAGTAGATCGCAAAGTCCAAACACGTTGAGATGAAACGCCCTATTAATTAAAGCCTTTCTCCGCTAGAAATGCTCAGCAACGACCAAAGGTTGGCCGAGTCGATGCATGCATTGCTCTACATCAGATGGAGAACCTTCCGGGAGCAGCAAATGCTTCACCCCGCAGCCCAGAGCAGCAGCTGGGACCCAACTTTGCTCAGAGCTGCCAGGGCTGTGCACTCACCACAGTGGTTCACATTCATTACTATAAGTGACATATTTTGCACCTAAGCCCAACTTTCGTATTTGCAGGTAGCAACAATAAATATATACATATATATTTGACTCTTACTTAATAGAGGCTGCAAGTTTGGTAAAACCAGCTTTGCACAGGGGAAAAGAATCCTGTAAAGCGCATATGAACATCACCATACTTTCAGTTGTTCTGCTGACCATCAGATAAAATCACCTCAAAAAGGGATGATTCATACACTTAGACTGTGCAATTCAAAAAAAAGAAAAAAGGTCATTTTCCTGGTAAGTGTCTCACAGTTAATCATTTCTGAAGAGATATCTTATCTCAGCACTGCAGCCTCAAAGGAAGGGACACAGCACTTTGGCCTACACATCCAGCGAAACATTTTAGTATGCTTAAGATGTACTAAAAATAAGTTTTGTTAAGAGTTCCTGTCTATATCACAAAACAACAAATAATTTTAGCACAAAATAGGAACAGGTATCAGCTGCACTCAAGTCA